CAATTTACTATAACTTATTAAAAGAAAATAATATAATATAATAGGAAAAGGTTTATAATTTTTGAAGCTCCACAATTCATTGAACAACAAAAGTGAATACCTAATCCTTTAAATATAAATATGCTTTTAATACTGATAAATAATATTTTTGCATAAGGATAAATAATGCAATATTAAAAAATAATTTTTTAAAAAAAATACTAAATTTGTTTAAAAATTAACCTTTTATTTTTCACAATATTTTTTTTTTTTAAATGTTATAACTTCTGCATCAGAAGTTGATAAAAAAGACATCTATTAAAAAAAATTGTTTTTAAATATAAATATATTAGTTTAAATTGGAAATACAAAATAACTGAAAAATGTATTAACAGTTTTGAAGGGCATAACATCAGTTTGTTACTGACACTGGTGATGTATCACTACTATGCTAAAAGAATCGAACATGAATGAAATAAAAATATTCTTAAATAGATAAATAAACCTGTTTATGACTAACCAAGCACTTAATCCCTAATAGCTTAACTTGTATGGCAAGGTCAAACTTCAGTTATGTAGTATTGAATGAGAGGACCAGTTGAACTTGATTACTGATTAATATTCCTTTATTTAATGTTTAAGTTGAAGAGTCAAACTATATTAATAAAACATTATACTTTTAAAATCAAATATTCACTAGTAGATTTAATTATCAATATGTTATTAGTTCTATGTTTATTTTACCTTTTAAATATTGTTCTGATAAAATTGTAACATAATTTGAGTAAAAGGGTTTTGGACAGTTTCGGACAAAGGGGTTTTGGACAGGTCAGTTTAAACCATGGATTAATCCATTTTGTCCTAAACCTTGCCAACCCTGCTTATTGATTGGTTGTTTCAACTGGTGGTTTTTGTTTTAAAGCAACATTTAAAAGCATTAATTGGTGAATATTTGTTGTCTACAACTTACAAGGAAAAAAAATGGCTATAATATTTTTAAGTTTATTTTATGACATGGCTCAATAAAAAGACTAATCATAATTAAAAACCATTTGGAATCTGCTTGCATTTGTTTTATTTAGCTGATAATTGTTTTATTTTTCAGTTTGAGCTTCTTTTTCCATCATGTCCTTAGCTGATGAACTCTTGGCTGATCTTGAAGATGCTGGTGAGATTGAAGATGAACATCTTCTTCAACTGGATGCACCTGTGCAAGAAGTTGAAGATATTCCCATGGAAGTTGATACTAAATTTCAAACAATTAGGGACATTGCCAAACTTCGAGACAGTGACCAAGTACATTATTCATTGTTTTTAGAAATACCTATATTTTAAGTTTATTTATTTATTTTGCTTATTTTTGTTTTAAAGCAACTATAGTAATTGAAATATTTGAGTTCTTAATGAAATCTCTTTCCACCACAAATCAATGGATTCTGAATGATTTAAAATTTTGGAGAGACATTTTAAGGAAAATTCTGTTTTCCAGAGTCTTTCTACATTGATGTACTTATATCATTAAACTGCCCTAGCAGCAAAATAATTTGGGACCCTCATTGCTCTAATCTTGGCTCAATAAGGGTTCAAAGGGCCATTATTTTCCTGATATCGGCCCTATATAGAGTCGTCAGATTCACACGATATTTCATAGTCATTATTCGGCCAACATAAGCCCTATTTTGGTAGTATTTAGTCCGGTTTTGGCCTTATATAGGACCAATATTGAAAAATATAGACATCTCAGTATTCGTCCCTCAGTGTATGTTCATATAGGATCAATATCGAGCCAATTTTGAGCCCAGATGGAGCCAATATAAAATTTTTGCTATGGTATCTTCAATAAAAAAGAGTAAATAAAAACAATGGGGAAAGTGACCAGTTTCTTATTTAGTTTAACTCACAATGTGGCGAGCGTTTATTTTCATGTCTATCTACGAGCCATGATAGTCTCTCTGCTCATCTGCATCCTATGTGCTTTTCCACCATGCCTTTTTGTCCACTTTGTGGTACTGGAGAAGAAATGGGTAGGGAGCACTTGCTCTAGTGTGGGGCCCTTAGTAGGCACACTGAGTTCTCAAGTACTGTGAAGCAAGAGAACTTTTAGAGCAATGACTTTGGTCTTGTTTTGAAATCTCATGTACATATTTGTATCTTTATCTTTTTACGATATCTGTACTTTTTGCCTTGTCATTGGGAAAAAAGGAAAAATTGTTTTTATTTCCATAGCAATGTAATTTAGAGGGTTTGATTGCTACCTGTTACTGTAATAAATTTAAAGCCTGTCTTATATATGCATAATATCGTATATGTATATGTATTTTTTTCTACAGTTACATAGAGTAATGGCTGAAATAGATGAAAGAAAAAATAAAGATCGCAAAGAAGGTAATTCCTTTATTTCTGAATTTCTATTTCTTCCCCCCCCCCCTACCATTTGAAACTTATTGCTGTAAGTAATGCTTCCTGTGTTTAAAAATCATCAGCTAATAAAAACGTGTTCCCTTATATTGAGATTTAAGTTTAATTTTCTGTGAAGTTTTTAAATTTCTGTGAAGTTTTTAAATTTCTTTTTCCGTTTGTTTCAGCTCTTGGTCCAGTTGAAGCTGATCCAGAATATTTACTCATAGTAGAAGCCAATAATTTAGCAGTGGAAATTGATAATGAAATAAGTAATTATTATTTTTTTTTTCAATCTAATTTTTTGTTGTAAATACATCTTGATAAAAAAAATTATGCCTTCAAATACATCAATATTTATTAAAATTCAAATATACTTTAGAAGATCTCATGGGCGCTGATGACTTACTGAATTTTGTTTATCTTTATTGATTATTGATAGATTTTTAATCATCTATGTGACTCAGACTTTTCCCATTTTAATCTCAAACTGTCAACTTTTAGACTTTTTTGTAAGCTTTTTACTGTGAACAAAAATTTGACTTTTAATTATCTTTTATTTTAGCTTTCATAATTTTTATTTTAGTTTTGCATTTTTAACCGTCAATTTTTTACCTGTTTATTAAATTCAGTTTTAATTAGTATAGTATTGCCACTTTGTGATTTTTAAATTTTAATTTTCTGTATGATCTTTGCATCTGTATTTATATGTTACCATTGCTATCCTGATGTTGTATAGTTTTTTTTATTAATATCTTTCTTTGTATACCTTATATTAAGTGGATCCGAGCATCTAATGTTTATACATCTTGATAAAAATATATTTTTATGTATTATTACTTTTTTTTTAAAAAAAAATATATATATATATATTATTTTCAGATATCATTCACAAGTTTACAAGAGACAAGTATTCAAAAAGATTTCCTGAATTGGAATCATTAGTTCCAATACCTCTTCAATATGTTTCTACTGTGAAGGTTGAGTAGTTTTGAACTAATTTAATGTCTTTTAAAATAAAATTACTTCTACTAATTAAAGACATAAAAAGAAAGTTGCTTAAAACTGATTGGTTTTTTATCATTTGATTGATTGTTGTCAATGCGTTTCCATTGGACAGATAAACAACATGATTGTTCTATTAATAAACACAGAATTCATCTTTGACTTTCTTCAGTATAAAATTGATAGAAGTTATACTGACATTTACCTCTAAATTTTCTGGTCTTAATATTATTATCTGCTATCATTACATTTTTACTTTGATTCTTATTTAAATACTAAATTCTATCTAAAACTTTTTGTTATCAATTAATGCAATTAAAAATAATAATTACAAAAAAATTATTAAAAATTATAGTACCATTACTAATTGATTTTTGAATTGGCAAAGAATAAAACTTTAACAAGTTTTTACAGCAACCGAAATTTAAAGAAGAATTTATAATGATAACATTAATGTGGGCCATTTTCAAAATTCACTGTCAAATGGAAATTGAGGAAAAGAAAATTACAATATAAGTAAATGTCATTTAAAAAAATATTTGAACATATATACTTCTCTTATACTATTTTAATTTTTTCATACAGGTTTTTTTTTTCCAATTATGTTTTGCTGATACCTCTTTGGGCAGGTACAGTAAAACTGTTACCATAATCACTATTATTCTAATTAAAGGTATTTCCTGTATATCTTTAATGTTGAAATTAATAGTTTATCAATTTAATATTTCATATTAAAGAAAAAAACCTTAAGTAATGCAAGGTGTGTTATCAAGTTTTGTACATCATGCCACCATCGAGCAACAAACATAATATTTTAAAGAAAAAAAAACTTCTGAAAATAAAAAATTTAAATTCTATTTGATTTGAGCTAGAAACCAAATAAACTAAATTTTTCAGTTTGATAAATAACTATTTTTTCCTTCGAGAAAAAATAACACTTTTGTGTTAAGTGTGTTGTGTTTGTTTTTATTTGTTAAACAATTATATATATATATATATATATTGCGACTTTTGATTTCCAGGATCTTTTCAATAGCATTCCCCTTTCTAAACTAAAAGATGTCCTTTTGAATTATTACCATGATTTNCCAAGTATTTTGATGAGTATAACTGATTTAGAGAAGATCTACATTAAAATAGCAAAATAATATAGTCTTGCATATTTATATTACTTAACATTGTCATATTTTGTTTTTGTAGGAATTGGGTAATGATCTTGATAAAGCTAAAAACAGTGAAATTCTGCAGGAGTTTTTAACTCCAGCCACCATTATGGTTGTGAGTGTCACTGCATCTACTACTCAAGGGTAAATTTTTAATAAATTCACATTCTTTATTCAGTGTTATATGGGATCCTATAGTTTGAAAAAAGTTCTTAATTCATGAAACTTTTTTTCAAATTAGTTAAAGGTGCTTATTTTTCTTTTTCAGTTTTCATTTCTCACAGACTTTCTGTGATATTTTTACTTTCTTTATGGGGAATGCAGGTTTATGTCCATTAACCCGCTGGCGGTTTTGCACGTAAAAAGTCGTATTTTAACTTGCACTCTTCTCTTCATAGCATAACTGGTTTTTCCATGTTATTAGATAAGTAAATAGTGTATTAAAGAGATGAAAATTCCCAATTTTGCCCCATTTTCTAAATTGCTAGTGGGTTAGTTATGTTCTCCCTTCAACATGTTTTATTACAAGCAGCACATCAAACAAATTAAGAATGCTACTGAATGGTCGACTGCTATCAGTCATATCCCATACAACTCTGCTTACTTACGTCATGTCATTTCCAAAAGAATTAAACATCGTCAACCGCCATCTGTCAGTAAAAATGGATATTACTTATTCATACTTTGCACTTTTAGTCAGAATGGCTCAGGGGATAGAGCTTTCGCCTTCCAATGAGGTGGACCGGGTTCGAATTCCAGGATGGCTGGTCAATATGAATCCACATCCACACGCCACGTCCCTACCACAGTGCTGACTGGAAATATCTTCAGTGGTAAACGGATCATGAATTAGAGTCCCTTTGCCATCAGGTTTACCTTGGAAGGCTCTCATGGTCTTCCTCTCCATGTAACGCAAATGTGGGTTTCATAAAATAAATAAAAAGTCCTCCACAAAGGAAAATTTCTCCCAATACTTGATCCAGGAGTTCCCTTGTCTTCTGAATCAGATTAAAAATTACAGGGCTACAGAGTTGAACATTAGTAGTCGTATACCCAAAAATTGGATCAACACTTTAACTATAGTTACAAAATAATAAAAAATATTCTACACTTACAGAGTCTAAAGATGCTCTAACTTTAGTGTTCAGGCAAAGTTTTTTTTTTTTTTTTTGCTCCTATATAAGTGTAGAGATAAAGTAAATTTGGAATTTAAGTGATGTTAAAAAATAGTGAGAGAGAAATGATAGATGGAGAATTTTTTTAATCATGAAATTTGCAAAAAATATGAACAACCTAATATTGACAGAGTCAACACTGCACAGAGACAGACCTTCTGAGATTACAGGTCAATTGTTGACAGATCATAGCGTTCATCGTATCTGCTGGAGGAAGCTCATTGGATACAGCCTTGACCTGTAATGGAATGTAGTGCATACTAAGAAGAGAAGGAAAAACCTTCTATTGTTATATAACATATTAAAACAGACACCGTATAACCTGGCATATAAATCAACCCCATTATGTAAATCAACCTTGTATTTTTTGTTACAATAATAAATTTTTGGAATGTCTGATGTATAAGTTATGACTGCTGAAAAACCAAATGTTTATAAAGTTTACAAACATAAAATATGAACTAAGTCTACAGAATTTTCTCAAGTTAAAAATATTTCACATTTTTCTCTCAAAAATATCCATGCTGCTTCGATATATATCATGTGTCAAATGATAGTATACACATGTAGAAATGTAGATTCAAATATTGTAAATTCTTTTAAAAAGTGTAAAATTTTAAATACTTTGGTGAAGACTATTTTTTGTGAGACTGCAGATTAGGAGATAATGAAGGATCCATTGCCAATTGGGATAGGTAGGATGCCAGCATTATTGAGTACAACTCTACTGGATTTTGCCAGTTTTTCCTGGTCTACTGATTTAATTAAAATTCTCCTGGTTTTTGTATATTTTAGAAAATTCCCTAAATTTGAGTAAGTTTCCTAAAAAAATCCTATTGAAATAGAATTTTTGACCAGATTATTGCTTGCTAGCTTGAATATTTATGAAGCGTTCCTCGTTTATAGAAATCAGTTCGACACTTTTTTTGTTCTAAAATGTTCAGGTTATTTTTATTCCAAACTCTCTTTTTAAATTAATTTTAAAAAATCTTTTAATTATCTTTGATGAATTAAAAGCCTATTAATGTTCAAAGTTATGTGTAAACATTACACATAACATTTCAAGTATGTTTAATGTCAATCATAACTGGAAAATATTGCAGTTTTTCTATTTTGATGACTACAAAAATCCCTAAAATTACGAATGAGTAAAATATTTACTATATTATGCAGTAATTATCACAAAATTTATATTGCATAAAATCTACTGGATATTTTCCTATCCATGCTGGCAGCTTTGGTGATGATTTAGAGTCTTTAAATTTTCAGCTTTATATGTTCTATAAAATTTCCTTGTTGTATATTTTTAAAGTACTCTTGAATAAATTATCTTAACTTTTCTTTTTCTGAGCGTAATTTTAGCTATTGTTTCAAAGAAAAAAAGCTTTATATGTAAAAAAAATATGAGAAGAGGAATAAATTCATGCTGAGTTATTCTTATAGATTCCATTGTTTATAATGCTTTGATATTTCATGAGCAACGAATGTTTCACTTTATTACTGGTGTAAAAGTCAACCCTCTGATCTTTTTAACATTTTGGTGGTTTTAAAAGTTGGCTTATACTCCAGAATATATGATAAATGTTTAGAAAGCAGAGGCAAAATATTGTGGCTTGCCACTTTTGACCCTTTGACTCAACTTCTCAATTTTAATTTTACTAAGTTTTGTTGAGGGGCCAAGTTTTATTTATTCAGATACTCAGCAAACTGTGTTCATTATAATGAAAGAAATTTTGACATTATATGATGTTAAAATAACTCTATTTTTGTAAATTTTAAGACAATTAGTGGCCGATACCCAAGGGTAAAGAGAAGGGCTGATTCATTCCTTACTCAAAGTTGGAGCTATAATTCACGACGTCGCGCCATTCACAGATCTCAAAAATCACAACTGAATTACATGAAAACTTTGCTGTAAGAAATGAGTTGAATGTTCAACACTTTTCTAATATAGCTGTCAAACTTAACTGCTAACAAATTATTTCTGTTCAAAAATAAAGTGTTCGTACATTTTCTTATAGTATTAAAAAATAACATTTTAAAATTAGAAAAATTTCTCAATGGTTGTCGTTGTTTCATTATCATTTTCCCATTTTAGTTTTTAACTTTTGCTGTTAAATAAAAGGAAGCATATAAAGATAATTTTATAGTTACATATTGCTCGATAACACTACTTTATTAATTGGGATGTCTAATTTTTAATATATTTTCAGATATTTATGCATCATCACTAAATAAAAACCTTAAATACTAGTTACTAAAACATAATCTTTGAATATATAATAGAAATATTATACATAAATATTTAAAATTAAGGATTTATAAATATTTTGAATAAGGACATTAAAAAATACATTATGAAATTGGAAGAATTTTTATTCATTAATAACTTTATTTTTGAAGCTCAGGGTTTTTCTTTTCTTTCACCTTGTGCATTTTTGTTCTTCTTTTCTGTTTAAAGTTACAAGATGGTATTGATTTTTATGGCTAATGAAAGCTCTTAAAGGTCTAAATGAAAAAATAATGCTTTTTTATTCACAGAAATTCTTTCAGTACATTTTATAATTCATTTGATGTCACCTTTATACTTTCTGAAGTAAAGCATGGAAAATTATGTTTTCTCATTTTGTGTTTTATAATAATTCTTGCTGATAATTGACAACTACTATTAAATTATTGCTATCAGATGAGATGAAAATCACCTCAAAATATATGTATATTAAAAACAATGAATGTATTGAAATAAGTTTAGAAAAAGAATGCATGCGAAACAATTTGTTTTTAAAGCGAGAAGTTGATGCTGCACTGCCATAATGTCACTGACTGAAATCAGAAGCTCGGAGCAGCACGAGTCTCTTCGAAGGAGTGGCCCAGCCCTTCTAGCCTTCTCTTTAGCCTTGGCTGATACCACTAATCAATTAGTTTACAAACCAGAAATCACTTTATAAATATCATTGTTATTTTTGAGACACTAAGTAGTTTTTCCCATTAATCAATGAGTTTACTAACCAATAATCATTTTATAAATATTATTATTACTTTTGAGACAATAAGTAGCTTTTCCCTTTTCCTATTAATCAATTAGTTTACAAACCAGTAAAACCAGTAATATTATTGTTTCTTTTACAAAAAAAAAAAAAAAAATTGCTTCATGTTCTTTTTAATAATTGCTCTAACTTTTTTAGGCAACTTTTATCTGATAATGATTTGAAAATAATATTTGAAGCTTGTGATATGGTAAGTTTTTTTTCTTTAATTGCCTACTTTGATTTTTTTTACTATCATATTTAATAGACTTGTGTCTCTGTTACAGGCGATTGAACTTGACAATTTCAAGCAAGAAATTTATACTTATGTGGAATCTCGTATGTCTTTCATTGCTCCTAACCTTTCAATAATTGTTGGCGCATCAACTGCAGCCAAGTTAATGGGTCAGTACTACTCTATTTTCTACCATTTATTTTCACTGAAATGTTAATTTGTTGTCGATGTTTTATAACTTACTTCATTGTCGTTACATACTTGGATAGAAAGCAACACCAAGACATTTGTAGATTATATATTTTTGTCAACTATATATATTTTGTTCCTTTCAGGTTTTTTAATATTTCCAATGGATGAATTTATTTTTATATTTATATATACTTTGAATTTCATTTTCATTTCACGTAGCTTGATTTTTACCATTTTAGAAGCATAATAGTCTTTAAAAAATAAATAACGTAAAGAAATTATGTATTGAAATTATTGTTTTTTTTATTGTTACATTTATGTATATTTGATTTATAATATTTAATTGATAAATACAGTAAAATCTCAAGCCTATGTGATTGCAGCATATTACTAAAAGTCTGCTGTTACGACAAATTTCCTTATGACTGTCAAAAAATTAATGTAAACATAAAAAATTTTATGTTTATAACGAGTTAAAAATTACTCGTGTTCTGTTATTACGGCAACAAAAAATTTAGGGAAATAGAGTTTTCTGTTATTGTTTTGTTGGTTTAGGGATATACAATTTTTTGTTGTTTCTGTTCAGTTAAGCAATATTATAAAAAAGGTATAGATAAAAGATATTTTTATTTATTTCTAGTAAAAAGTGACTAGAGAAAAACAAATGCTCCCTTTTTAGGATTTTCTGTACTTATTTTTATTTAGATTTCCATGGAGAACCAGGGGGTCTGTTATCTGCTTTTTAACAAAGGAAAAGTTCTTCCATTATTCTTAGAAATCTGGTCACGCACTTTTTTTAAATAACTGCCGTTGAACAGCCGAGCCTAGTTTGGGTTACTTATCTCCCTTCATAACTACTTACTATTAAAATCAATATTTGCCATTACCAATTATGTCAAAAAGTATTGCACTTCATTTTTTTGCAAAAAATTTCTTACAATTTCAAAACTTGTTTTTCAAACATTCTTGTTGTACCTTTCATGAAATACAGAACTTTGTAATTCAATCAACAATGTGTGGGGAAAGCTATCTACTATAGATGTGTATAATTTCGAAACAAAATAGTTGTTCATTTTTTTAAACTTTTCTTTTCAATTCTATTTTAATATTAAAGATGAGCCTTTGCTTGTACAACAAGTTCACTAAAATAACAATTTCTTCTGCAATTATAAGTTGTTGTTGTTATAACGGAGTTATGCTGTAGCTAATTGAGGTTTATAGTTTGTTTGTTTTTTAAAATTTTTGCAATTTACATAAGATGAAAATATTTGATTGATAGTCAATTTATGCAAATTATTATTTCCTACTTTTCATACATTTTAATATATTGTTTTAAGTATGTCTTGTTGATATTTAGGTGTTGCTGGTGGTTTGAGTAACCTTGCAAAAATGCCAGCCTGCAACATTCAAGTATTAGGTTCACAAAGGCGGACGCTTGCTGGATTCTCAACAACTGTGATTCTGCCTCATATTGGCTTTGTTCACTCTAGTGACATTGTTCAAAATACTCCTGCAGTATGATTTTTATACTTATTTTATTATAATCATTTATAATCATCAAATTATTTTATTATAATCATGTAAGTCTTGTCATAATTCATCGTATTTATTATTGCAATAGTTATACTGAAGTGTTGCTATAAGGAACCCTCTTTCCTTTTCACTGTTTGTTGGTTAAATTTTCATTTTTTTAAATGTATTTAATTTAAAAAAAAAAATTTACAATTTTTTTTTTTTTAGATGACAAAGTCATTTGTCAGCACTTTTTTCTTGTTTTTTGCATGTGTAAAAACTTAAAGCAATGCTTGGGCCCGACCATTCCAGAAATGCCAACTTGCTCCTGACAACAAATATATATTTTAAAGTGGTAGTTTATTAATTGTGATTCTTGGTTTAATAAATTCAATTTAGTGGATTTTTATCCACCACTATTTCTAAATAATTCGTAGGTTTATATAATTCATCAATTTGAAGTACTAATGTCAGGCTATACCTCTTAGGAAAAAAGCAAAAATAGTCAAATATTTCAAAAATTTACTTTGAAGTTATTTACCGTTCTTTTAATTATTTGGGCATGTCCGGAGCAGTTGGCATCTCTGCCATTCTATGTTTCACAGTGAAATGGTCATTTTCATCTGAACCTTTGTATCACATGTAGTGGGAAACAAAATTAAATCATATTTAAAAAGCAAATAATCATACTTTAAAGCATAAACTTTGCTACCACAAGAAGAAGTTGGACCACAAAGAGTAGAGAATTGGCAAACCTGCCTTTAGCATTCTGTTGTCACTTTTGCGGAATCACAATTTTAAGTGTAAAAAAAAAAACATTTCTTCTTAATATTTCGTTATTTTATGATTATTAGTTTGAAATTACATCACATATTTTAAATAAATTACCGCATACATTAATTTAAATAGCATTTTAAAATACTAACAGGTGAAACATCACTGTTAAAGTTTAAAAATCTTACTGGATAATCATTCAGATCTTACTTTTCTTTAAAAAATTATACAGTGTAACCTGTTGGGAGAGATAAATCTTCGTTCTGCATTAAAATTATCAATCGCCAATAATTCAAAACTAAAAGTAAATTAATTACTCCCAAGGGACAGTTCGGAGCATGGGAAGAGATCCATGGTTAGCAATATATAGAAAGATATCATAGCCAATCCCCCATAATCAGTATTAAATTTGAAAATAATTGGGCGAAAGGGAATCACCCAAAAGACAGTGAGAATTAGTATAACCTTGTAACTGAAACATTTTTGTGGTAAGAAATAAAGAGTTATAAATAGATTTTTGATTTCAATTTAGTCGCGGAAGTGAATGAATGAGTCTTACATTAGTATCGAAATAAAAAGTTGGCCGTTACATTGATTGTTAAGAAAAGAATAAAAAATATTTTATATTCGCTTTTTATAAAGTGTCATAAAAATTAAATAATTTTTTTATTTAATTAAAATTAGATTAAGAATGATTAAAAAGAATAAATTTAAGAAAATAAAGAAATTTTAAAAGCTAGGAAATATGTAATGCTTATTGTGGCATTACATCCTCTAAATTTAACTTCATTTTAGGATTTAAGAAGAAAAGCTGCCAGGTTGGTTGCAGCCAAATGTGCTATAGCAGCTCGTGTTGATGGTTTCCACGAGTCAGCTGATGGTGAAGTGGGTCGAACTCTAAGAGAAGACATTGAGAGGAAATTAGATAAATTGCAAGAACCTCCTCCTGTGAAACAAGTAAAACCTCTTCCAGCACCTATTGACCAACCACGCAAAAAAAGAGGTGGTCGTAGGTGAGTTATTTTGCTTATCTACCAGTTCTATTTTGATGTTTTAATCTATTTAGAATTAATTGATTTTAAAAGGATCTTTTAATTAAAGGTCTATTATATTAAAAATTCTGTACTTTCTCCATTAATAAAAAACAAGCTAACTTTTAACGAGTTTTTAAGATAAGTTTTGAAACAATAAAGTACAGGGTAATAAGAAATGAATATAGCGATTACAAATGGCTATAACTATTTAATGAAAGAGAATTTATCGATAAAATTTACACAGAATGTAGAAGGAACTTTTTTATACATGCATCACAGGTTTTCTAGGGGACTTCCCTTGGTCACACAGACAACATCTAGGCGATAGTCCATTTCACGTTGTACATTATGAAGCATTTGTGCAGTCACCCATGAAAGTGCATTTTAGCTCTTCGATTGTTACCTTTGCACAAACATCCTATGCCTTCTGTGTATGTTTTTCCAATTCGGAGATTCTTGATTGCAACGCTGACGAAATCTACTCTGCAATGTGATAACATAATGAAAATTATTAAATTCTAACACGCCGATTGCTTTCTGCACGGGAATCGCCATCTTCACTAATGACCTTGCTTGTGCGCAGGATTCCATTTCACTACTCCTTACGTAAACAATTTCGAGGTCTCGTAATAATAGACCGGGTCACCAATTATAGCACGTTTGTGCTTTCAAGTTAAGAGTAACGCATTCCATATTTTTAAATTGAATGAGAGAAAAAAAGGAATTAAATTATTTATCCAGCAAATAATAGGAAATAAAGAGAAAAAGCTTAAAGTCAAGGAAGTTTAATGTACAATAAAATAGATATTCACATTCTTAAAAACTTTACAATGTAAAAATAAGATTATCCAGTTTAGTATGAGAGAGAGAGTGAAAATGTGTGCTTTCTTCACGGGAGTAGAATCTAGCCGGCCGAAGACTTCCCGTGAAGGAAATGGTGACTAGTGCACATTAAGTTTGTCGGGTCACAATATCCTCCATGTTCCCAAAACAAATCAATTACTCCGGGGGGAGTGAAGATTGATGGATCTCTAGTTCGGTTCAAAATTATGATCTGTAGACGAATGAATGGATGTATAAAAAGGGTCCGTCTAATAAACGTTTGTGGTAGGTTCATGGCCATAGATGATGTCACTGGAAAACAAAAGCAATCGCACCCCTGTGTCTTAATAGCCGACGACAACAAGCAAATACAGTAAAAATCTAGTAAAAATCTTGTATTTCACAATAACTAATTTTTCTCTTACATGTGATTCAAATCAAAAATACAGTAATAAATACCATAGAATTTTTAAATGATCACTAAAGGCATCGTTCACTAAAGTTACTTTCATACATTCACTCTGTTTTCATTTCAAGATTATTGATATGTTCTTTAAAATTATTTGATTAAGGACAGTTTTAGCTTGATTACAAATTTTAATTATATATTCGCAAAAAAGAATATTAACTAATTGATATTGGTTATAAATTTTAGTTCAACAGTAGTATAAAAATTTCCCATGCATCAAATTCAAACTATTATAAGTTGTCCAGTTTTGTTAAAATTATACTTGATAGTGTTTAAACTTTCTGTTCTCAACAAAGTAATTCTGAAATTAAAAAATATTATATTTTATTATTTTTTTTCGATAAAGTTTACTTTTGTTACTCTTAAGTTGAGCTAGTTATACTTTTTTTTTAGTTTGGTATGTGTATACTGTTCCAAAAAATTTCCTGATTTTTTTTCTTCAGACCACAGTGAAGACTGCAATGCAAGTAAACCACCGAATAGGAAAAATGAATTAATTTGGATTTGATACAATTTGATGTCCACTATATTTTTTCCTAAAAAAAATTCGTCCTATGGTAAATTTTCTTTTTTAATTTAATTTTTAACTCTTAGTTGCAAGCATGAGTTTTAATCTGTTTAATTTATAAGAAGAAAGAATAATTGAAAAATTAAATCCCACCAATTAAAAAATCTGGGAAATTCAATAAAATGAGTCTGGAATTGTCAGGAAATTTTTTTTACCATACGTTTGTGGCCACCTTGCTATGTTCACTTGTATAACTTATATTTCAAATCTCAAAATGTATCTATTTAAGGGTGAGAAAAATGAAAGAGAGATATGCCATCACAGAATTCAGAAAACAAGCCAACAGAATGAATTTCGGAGAGGTAAGTTTTTCTACACTTTTTATGTATAATTCAAATTGTTAGCTGAATTGATATGCATTTCATATTTTGGTTTCTATAAAAAATTAACTATAATTATGTATTCATTTTTAATGTTGTTATTATTTTTCTTTGTACAGTATACTCTTGATATCTCGAACTTCCATATCTCGAAAACCTTGTTATGTTAAAAAAATATTTTTCCCCTTGGTGTTATTATATATCCACCTAATGCTAATTTAAGCTATATCGAAGACTTTCTTCTCAAAACCTTGTTATGTCGAATTTTTTTCGAAATAGGAAATGAATTTTTTTGAAAAAATCACAGTGTAAGTTTATTATAAGCAGATTTTTTTTCTATTCAACGCACATTTATTTTTGTCTTACTTTTAAAAATAAAATTATCATTGTAAATCAATTCTTTTATATTTAATGCATAATTGTTCTTGTTTTATGAAAATAAAATTATCATTGTTGCATTTAGACTTATAGTCATTATCTAAGTTACATACATATTTCCGCAGACATGTTACTATCATGTTACATAAATATTTAATAGTTATTCTTATGGTTCATGACTATTTTTTTGAGTAATATTTTAGAATATATATTTTTATTTTTTAAAACATATTTAATTCTGAACTTGCTATCTCGAAATTTTTTAGCATCCCTTCAACTTTAAGATAACGAGAGTACACTTTATTGATTTTTGTGAGAAGTTTATGTTCATTTTTTATTTATTCATATTTATATTTTTTCCTCCAATAAAAAATTATCTATTTTGACTATTATAAAACCTCTGTATCATTACAAAATTACTTAACTTTGAAATGTTTACAAAAGTAAGTTATTTAAATCAATTAACTTTTTTTTAGTCTAGAATTCTTTTTATTAATATTTTTGTTTTAGTTTCTTTTAATGCTCATGTTAATAACATTTATGATTTTTTACTTGAATCTATATAAAATTACTTTTTTGGAACTACAATCTTATCTGTAATAAAATCTAACCAAAATCACTTTTAAGTTTATTTATTAATCAATTAAAATTGAAATCATATGCTGTCAAACTGGATTTTAGTATGTGCCTCAGTTTAAGTACTTAAAATTATAACAGAAATATCTATTATGTGGAGCTATAATCGTGTAGCTCACATGATAAAATATTGTTTACTCTTTTTGCTTAATATTTGAATTTCTTTAGATCGAAGAGGATGCGTACCAGGATGACTTGGGCTTCAGTTTAGGACAAGTTGGAAAAGCTGGTACTGGGCGCATCAGGGCACCACAAATCGATGAAAAGACTAAAGTCAGGATTTCAAAAACTTTGCAGGTAAGATTTTTTGATAAACAAAATATGTAACTTTTACATTAAAACTACTTCTGAAAGTTAAATGTGTGTATTCAATATTTCTGAATAAGTATGTCATTTTCTTACATTTAATTGTTATTATTTTTTAGAAAAATCTCCAAAGGCAGCAGGTATATGGTGGAAGTACTACTGTCCGTAGACAAATATCTGGAACAGCGTCCAGTGTTGCTTTTACTCCTTTACAGGTAATTAATTACTTTTTTACTTGTCTTTTTTTCTGTAGTTTATTCAGATTTTTTGAGACAGAGACTAAGGATCGAATCATTAGTGGGCATCTTGGGCTGCAGTGCATTTGAAGGAGAAAAAGAATCATATATATATATCTCTGCTAATTTAGTATTTAAAAAACTGATATTTTCAATAAGCTATTCATAGAATTTTTACATTGGCAGAGATCAGAGCTAGGTTCCCCCCCCCCCCCCTTTGATTCACTTTAATGCAATGTAATATACTTTCCTTTATAATAAAAAATACTATTTAACTATAAAAAATCATTTGTGTTGCCAATCAATATTATGAATTATATTGTTAACAAACACGACAACTTTATATAGGTTATATAGTTCTATAACTTAAATTTATTAAAAAGTAATTTATGCAAATAACAAAATATCTTAATAGTTTTTCTACAATATTATTATTTTAAAAAAAAAAAATTAGGAAAAAGTTTAAATGCAGCATTTATGTGTGTTAAACTTAATGCATATCTTAAAATAGTTTTATTTTATGTGCTAAAGTTTCATAGCTAGATTTCAAATAATATGTTTTAACGAAGCCTAGAGCATTTTTGTTCTTGTGGGCTCCTTTGTTAAACAATTTTTTTTTGTATATTTCTTCAAATGTATCCATCTTCAAAAGATTTAAAATAGATGAGGATAACAATTTAAAGTATTAATTTATTTATTACAAATTCAAAGTTTAAATTATTTTCAATATATGTTATTAATTTACTATATCCAGCAAACAATATGTTACTGAATATTATTAAAATGTACTTTACAAAATCTAATTTAGATTTCTGTTTGACAGAATTTGTGAAGTGAACCTCTAAATTATCATGTCTGAGAAAAATTGAAGCTTTATTGCTGTTAAAAAAAAGTTGACATTTTGATTTCTGTTCACATCTAACTTCTGTTGACAACTGGCTAACAAAAAAAAAATTAACAACTCTTTTCGGTGGAAATCTAAAGGTTGGCTTTAAAGGAAAGCAGATGGCAAATATTGTGTTATATTTGTACTAACGTCAGAATGCGTTTGTACAAACGAATTTATTTTTGTTAGTAAATATAAAAATTATATCATTGTAGAACTTAAATTTTACAAATCAATTTACTAAGATGTTTTTTCGGTATTATTAACTTTTAACATTTTTTTTTGTCTGCAGTTTATATTATCTTTAAACAAATTAATGGGTAAAGTTCTGTTTAAAGTTTTTTTTTTCTAATACCCACCCGATTGACACTTGTCATTCAGGTATCAGTAAGGCAGATTTGTTGGCCACTCTTTCAGTGGCACCATATTATGTGAACCTACATTGCTCTCACTGTATGGACAGATAGCACAGAGAAGGAAAAAACATCCATGCCTTGTTTGGGATTCCAACCCAGGACCTTTCTGATGCGAGGTCATCTCCCTGACCAGTACACAGTCCAGTTGGCGTTCTATTAAAAGTTAATCAATTATTAATTACTTAAAAGCATGTAATATGCATAAAAGTTATGTTTTCTAGAAAATTTAATATTTTTAAAAACCTTTATGTTTATTAATTTTACTCAAAGAAATAATTATAATTGACAAAATAATTTATTAAAAAAACACCAAAAGCAGTTTTCCAAATGTTATTATTAGTGTATCTTAACTCCTAAAATCTTTTTTTTTTTACTTCTTTCATTAACCAAATTGTTTGATGAGCAGTTATCTTTGATCTTATCTTTAATTACTCATTTTTCAGGGTCTTGAAATAGTAAATCCACAAGCTGCGGAAAAGAAAGGTAGCGAATCTGCCAAGTACTTCTCAAATACGTCTGGCTTCATTAAAGTGGAGAGAAAATGAATTCCAATATCATGTTCAATTGTATGTAATTGTATGCCAGTAGTTTTAAAGTAAACCTGTATATAAAAAATTCATTACTTTGTTTTCATAAACTTATATCATAATTAAAGGAATACAATATATATTATGTTTCATGATTGTTTTAGATGGTATAAAAAAATACACGAAAATAATTGTATAAAATAAATTTGTGTTTTCTTATTAAAAATTATTAAAATTCTGCTTCAAATTACTTTTCTAGGTTCAAAGTTTTGAATGAATTATATTTTCAAACAATTTCAATTCAAATAGGAAATTTTCCAAAAACTAACATTTCGAAAATGTGTGTTTTTTATTTTTTTATTTTCTAATGAAATTTTTAAATTTAAACTATATGCGTACTTAATTTATTTATTTACTATTTTTAAATTGTCTTTCCACGGGAGGTTTTGTTTCAAACATGTAGGAGTTAACAATAAAAATGGAAGAGTGGAGCTATTTTTGAAGTATAAACAACAATTTTTAGTGTTTCTATACTTTCATTTCAAAACATTGTGGTAGTGATTCAACGAATAGGAACAAAAAAACTAAAATGGCTATTGCGAGAAAAAGCATTTTCTGTTTCTTTTTTTTAAAATTAAATATTAAAGTTTAAGCTTCAAGACAAATATTGTGTATAGCATAATTTCATAATTATTGTGTATTGCATAATTTTGTTCTATATCTGCCAGCAACTATTCATTATTCTACCATTGTCTTACTTATTACAGTAAATGTATCCCTGCAAGCTGGAGTCTAAGTTGCATTTCCTGTTAGACATGATATTTCAGTGCAGTATACAACTTCATAAATGAAACAAAGCAAAGCATTGATAAATGAAGCAAAGCAAATCAGAAAAGTTTTATTTATCATCCCATACAATTTAGAAAAAAAAATATTAAATGAGTATACAGAAAATGTATTACATAACACAATATATAATAGTTGCATTTAATTCATCCTCTGTATCTACCGCATTTTTTATTAAATGAATGCATGGGAAGTTACCATTGGTATGACTCCTTAGGACGCTCTTATGTTGCTATTACAACCAGAGCATCTTGTCTGTTCTGGCTCATATGTATTGTTACCACAGTCTGTCAGCAACAAATAATTTTTAATGCCATCTGGGATATTAAGCAAATGAACACTTTTCATAAGTAGAAAATTTGTTGCTAAATGTAGGTGGATGGTACACCTGCAAAAATACTGCAAACTTCTTGGTGAACTTACAGGGCTTATATATTGTATATGTGTTCATGGTTACATAAATATATATGTTTATATATTGTTTTTGATGTATCAATCAATTGATCAGTGGACTGTAACACGTATAATAATTTATTTACAAATTCTAAGATATAAAAATAGACAGGATCATTGCGAAGTAACAGGGAGATGCACCCTGTTCCAGAGTTGAATGGCAATTGAACTGTATTGATATGAGTGCCGCCTCATGGCGTAATTTCACTATTCTTAACACTCTCCGCCGATTGGATGCTTAAATCCGATCATTATTAATTACAATTTTTAGTATATTGTAAAATTAAATGAAAAATTGACAATATTCATACAAAAACATCAAATATACATAAATGTAGTTTCAACTTTATACTGAAATATTAACACAAGAATTAATACACAGGTAAGATACAAATGCTGTGTACTGATCTTTTTAAGTATGTTGCCTTGTGGCAAGCGCATGTTTACAATTCTTACCTTCCCATAAATATTTCTTCAGTTCTCCCTCTTAACCATTTAGTGTTTGGCAAGTTTTCTTCTTTTATAAAGTCCCAATCTTAACATTATCTTTACCGAACAGCCATTTGTGGCATTCTAAGAGATTAATTAAATAATATCTCTTCCAAAGTCTCCAAATGTTTTGAGAAAATTTGAATTTTTTTGAGAAGTTATAATGCCAATCAATTTTTTCCTCTCCAAAATATTGCACCAAAGGTTCATCTGGTTAATTAATAATTTTGAAAAGCCGTTTCAGTTAAGCATCTGCGTCAACAGAATTTCGTCCATTGTCAGTAAAAATTTTAGAAGCCTTGCCTCTTCTAGAAAAAAATATTTTTAAGCTAGCTGTAGACCCTATTGATGTTAAGTCACTCACAAAATCTAAATGTATCGATTTAGTACAGAAACACACATAAATTGCGACATATATCTTATTTAATACACCTTTCCTTTGTCCTTTAAATTTTATCTAAAATGGTCCACAAAAATCAATACCAGTTATGGTAAATGGAGAAGGTTTGATGCGTTCTTTAGGTAGCAAGCGTTTTATATTAGAATACATCTCTGAACACCCACATTGTTTATTGTTGGCAAGGATTCGATGACCTTTTGCCACTGTGCATCTGTTTTAGGAAGAGGATCATTCCAGTCTAATTTCTGCCACCGCAGTCTCTGCAGAAATATTTTAGCTTTAGTCACAGCTGGATCCAAGGGGATCAAATATACGTGCAATAGTTGAAAGCACTGATCTCTTTGTACGCCTGGATTTGGAAAGCAAAGTGGACACTAGTTGGATTCCATATTACTCCTAGCGCTTTTGTTTCCTTCTGAAAATTGTAGCTTCTGTCAAGCCCTGTAATTAATTTATGTGCCAAATGTGCCGCCACATTCCTGCACTATAAAGAACCTTTGATAATTCTGATTGCAGTCTCTTGGTTTCTCTCAAAATGTCTCCACTACTCAGAACATCATCCATATAGAAATCTCTTTCTAACACATGAGATGGTAAAGGATAGTTCTTCTGCTCGTCTCTTGACAATTGAAGTAAAACTCTTGTAGCTAACTATGGTGCAGTAACTGTTTTTGAGCTCATCTGTTTTAACTGGATTTTTCACTCCCTCCCTCCGAAGTATTCTAAAAGTTTAGTTTGACTCCAGTGCCGGATTAAGCGTACGCGGGGCAATAGGTCATTCAAATTTTTGGGACCCTTAGATTAATTTTTTTTTCTCGTATACTTTTTATTTATTCAAATATAAAAGTATTTATATATCTATTTAATATATTTATATAAAAGTATTAGTATAAGATAGCATATTTAAAATAATAGATAAAATTTTACTTTATTTTGTTAAATTAGAACTAAAAAATAATCATAACATATATATTTATTTTCAAAAAAACCATTTTAAGGGGGGCCCCAGGCCATGACCTAGTCTGGCCGGTTCCACCTTCATTTGACCCATTCAGCTATTTCTCCCAAACTGTCAAAATGGAAAAAAAGGGTTGGGTCGAGCAGGTGTGGTAGTCAAAGAAGAGAAAATAATTTTATTCTTTAGCAAAACTGGAAACACATAAAGGAAAACAGTGTGTTGAAGATGATGTTAGGGAATTTTTTAAGAAGCCATTTATAGTTGTATGTTTGGCGGTGCAGGTCCTGATCTCGCATTTCCAATAAACGGTTTCATCTTTATATTTGCTATATATGTTAAACAAATAATTCCTATATTCGAGAGGTAGCAAATAGCCACCTCTCGAGGATTTCAGGTAAGTTATTTCCGACATTTTTGGAAATGGCTCAAAAATATGTCGTTAAACGGTAGTAGGAGGAAAATCTTTTTTCCCTTTCAGGTTGTTTTTCCTCCAAAAAGAATTCTGTCCCCCGTATGAAATCCCTCTATACCCTTCCCTCACAAGCGGACCCCCAGAGAACACCCGTGCCTACAGGTGCACATCATTAATATCTTTTGGGTCAACTTTCACTTAGGTGAAATTTCATATACACGAGTCTGGCTTAATGGGTAATCCGGCACTGTTTGACCAACACCTAGAATAAGGAAGGCCTCAGCACGGATCAAATTAGTAGTCCGATGTGACGAAGTTAACTGCGCAGTTGATGAAAAATAAGAAAGATGTCATTACGTTCGGGGTACTAAGCTGCGCAGTGGTTGAAAATACGAAATATGTCATTCATTACGTTTGGACTACTAAAGGATATTTATGGTAACCCGTGCAGAGGCCTACTCTTTTCTAGGAGGTGTTGGTTTGACTCGGATCAATTAAAAGCATCCTATATATCTTCCTAATGTCTGCTACAAGCGCCTTGCAAAATCTCGTCATAATTTTAAATAAATCTTGTATAAACCCTACCTTTTATTGTGAAGAATTCCCTGAGGTTGTTTGTGAGGACGCAATGAACACTACACGAAGCTTTGTAGTACTTTTATCAGGGCGATAAACTCCTAAATGTGGTATATAATATGTTCCTACTTCTTTCTTACACTCTGGTATTTCTGTTTACATATTTTCATATTCGCCCATGCATATTTTCATACTCCCATTCTGACCCATATTTTCATATTCGCGTAAAAATTCCCTGTATAATGATAAATACTCAGGCTCCTTTATAAATCGTTTCCACAGCGATTCTAATTTTTTAAGCGCTATCTTTAGGTCTCTCTAAGCACGTTGGGTCATCTTTTAACGGCATTTTTACTATATACCTCCCTGTGCTATCCCTTTTGACAATCTCCTCAAAGTGCTTTTCACAAATTATTGCTTCTTTATTCTTGGGTTCCTCAATTTGCACATCTATTTCCCAAAATTTCTCAATAGTTTTGTTCCGACTAGTATTATCTACAATGAAGCCGCAATGTACCCTTCCCTGATTTTTACTGGGAACACTTGACAGTATTCTGGAAAATTAAATTATTATTAGTCGAACAAATTTGACCAGATCGTAACAACTCATAAAAGATTTCGACACTTAAAAGCAAATCTATACGACCTGGAATATTAAAATTCTCTTCAGCAAGTTTAATGTATTTTAATTGTGGTATGTTAATCTTTAGCCCTTTTGATGACATGAAATTTCTCATTATCCCTCAGGGGTGTTGAATAACTTTCCATATTGGACACAAACAAAAGACTTGTCCCTCAGAATTTTCTGAAGAAAAGTTAACAGAATGCTGTTGGTAAAGTGTAAGTAAAAAGAACACATTCTAGTCTTTATGTTTCTAATTTATTCTCATTTACAAAAACAAAATAGCTAGATTTTTTTAAGAATGTAATTATATTTCTTTTTAGGTGGTCGAGTGGCCTGACTGCGAAGCCATTGGCTGTGGGCTCGAATCCCGATCTGGGCATGGATGTTTCTCTCTCTCTGTACTCTGTTGTATGCGATTTGTGAATGTGGCCCACCCTATAAGCGGGTTTGTGGCGTTGGTAATGTTGCTCGCCTCCGTGACTTTGGTTCACAGATGCCCACTGGGTAACGCTAAATGAGTAACAATTCCGGCATCTTCATAGACAAAGATTCAAATTCAGTGCCTGCCATTGAAAAAAAAAATTTCTTTTCAAGACGGTAGCATTTTCTACATATAAGTTTGTTAGATATGGGAGCAAACGATGTCCGACAGGGGGAAATTGCCCCCTGACCCCCTACTGGTCACCGTCCTTGGCCTACGAATGTTCAACAACGGTTATAAAATAAAAAAAATTTTTACACCGAACCAGTTTTTTTTGTAAGGGTTTCAATCTTTATAATTTTGCTCTGGAGAATTTCGGGATTTGTCTTCTGAAACACTAGAAAATTGCATGACCAGTGCAGCATAATAATTTTTCGAAATGGTTGACACAGCTCGTAAACGTGAAACAGCCCAACCTATCCTAAGTTCCTCGAGCTCTCTTATATTTTAATAAATTATCAACAAGTATTTTAAAGATAGATTCTTAAAACTTCATCAGCAACACATCTGCCACTAGTTGCAATCTATAATTCAGGGCTCGAAAAACCGCCCGTCCTCGGCGGTCAAAAATACCCTGCGGACAACAAATTTCTGGAATCCAACTTCCGCGCGGACGACCATTTTCCCGTTAATGTTCATGATATATTTTCAATTTTTGTTAACTTACAAGAGTCTAGCTTCTCACTTCTAAAATGACCCTCCAATCTCGAAATACAGCAACATACTGCGCATGGTGGAATTGATGTTTTCTCTGTCTGGGAGTACTGCAGCGGTTGAAAGGGGCTTTTCAGCAATGAACTTACAAAAATACACATTACTTACTGGTCTTAAACAAGAAGCGTTAAGCGCATTTATGAACATCTACCTAAATGGAAAACCTCTTTCAGATTTCTGTGCAGAAACCTCTGTAAACCTGTGGCTTGATTGTGAAACTGGCAAATGTATTTGATTTATTTAAAAAACGCAGTACCATCGGATAAATTGACATGATAATTGACAGATAAATTAACCTTTGTTATTTAAATTATTTCATCAAAGAAATAAATTATTTCATAATAGAAATACCAGGTTTTACTATTAGTAACCTAGTATTTCTTTTATTACTGTATAATGTAATCCTAGTA